GTGCAGGGCGGCATCCAGGAGATTTTGAAGATCTCCAGAGAAGGAGACTCCACAACCTCTCTGGGCAGCCTGTTCCAGGGCTCTGTCAGCCTCACACTAAAGAAGTTCTTCCTCACATGGAGGTAGAACTTCCTGTGTTTCAACTTGTACCCGTTACCCCTTGTCCCATCACTGGCCACCATGGAGAAGGGCCTGGCCCCATCCTCCCTACATTCACCCCTCAGGTACTTGAACATGTTGATCAGATCTCCTCTCAGCCTTCTCTTCTCCAGGCTAAACAGGCCCAGCTCGCTTAGTCTTTTCTCATACGGTAGATGCTCCAGTCCCTTAATCATCTTTGTGGTTCTACACTGGACGCTCTCTAGAAGCTCAATGATCAGCATCAGCTCCATCAGTGAACACAAAGGAGCAACATTTATTTTCATAAAAGCAACTTTGCACCAGACCAAAAGCGTAAAGAAATATTCCTATGAGGAAAAAAAGTTTGTTAGTGTGTTTCTTTTGAATTTCCAGATGGTATAAATTCATTTATGCCAATGTCAATTGTTCTGCTAAAAGATTTGACTTCATAAGAAAAACAGTTCACAGAAAAAGAACATAGATTCCAAGTGCTGGATGCAGGAGAATGTGTTTCAAGAATATTCCTAGTTAATTATTACTGCGCTACTCATGCACTATGACCATGTTCATGACTATGATAGTATCAGTACTGATACCAGTAACAGTTGACTTCCTCAAAGAAAAGCAACCAGCCTAATCCTCATGCACAAGAAGTAACCTAATCATCTACCCTAATCTTTGGTTGATGCTAATACTCTCCAGGATGCAACAGACTTTGCACTGGCTTCTTCACAGTATCTCCTTTTCCAGAAGGAAGTTCCTCACATGAATCAGACTGAAATCTTGAGAAATTCTACACCCATGCCCTCAGATAGCACCTCTTATCAGCAGACTTTAGTCAGGGTAGGGACAGTTGTGCTGACCACACCAACTGGTTCTGAAAAGTGTTTCCTGGTCTATATGAGGACAAAACTTTATTTATTTATTTACTTGTCTCAATTCAATTATTTTTATCAAGTCAAGAGTTTTTATTGAAAGGCCAGCATGCAGTGGGAGGGGTAATCACACTTGATTTTTGTGATAGGAAAATATTAAAGTTCATAGTCCTTCTGTTTTGTGTTCCTATTACACCAATCCAGTTCCAAAGGAGCCTTTCTCAGTAAGTTGTGCCTTTTCGTGTAAAACACTGATAACTACTACCACTAAGCAAGTGCTTCAGCAATATTTTTTTGCTAATAAATGAAAAACCCTGCTGCCACCATGAAGCAGTGGTGGCTTCATGTCCTCCAGCAATTCTGCTGCTGACCAAGTATTGCAGCTCAGATCCTACCACAAAGATTTCCAGTAAAAACGAAGGGAACGGGAATAGGCAGCCTGACGATATGGGTGTTAAAGAGTGTTTACAGTGTTGAGACACAAACCAAGCAAACTCTCCTCAAAATATGATAGCCTGCAATTGCAGAGGACAGAGAAACTATCATAGAAGACATTAAAGGAAAACTAACAGGGAAAACAGATGCTGAATTCCTAACCACTAGATTGCAAAATGTGGGAGAAGAGCAAATAGAGCTTAACTGGCATCAAAAACATTTCTGCCTCTTTTTGAGTCAGAGCTGTGACTGTCTCAAAAAGAGTTCAACCACAGACCTTATTAAAAAGAGTTCAAGTACAGACCTTATTATAAGGTAATGATTAACTAACTACTTTATCACTAGCTGAGGTTAAAAGAGAAAGAAATGGAGATATTAAAAGCATTGCTTTCTATTGCTGCATTTTCCTTAAGATCTTTTGAGTCACAGGAGCCTTCAGAGGCTGCAAGGAAACAGTCCAGCCCCGTGGGCAGCTGCTAGAGCAGAATGACAGCAGGATTGCTGCTGATGATTTTTTTTTCCTGCCTCCCCAACTATGAGCTCTCCTTAGTTAAAATCATCTTTTTAAAGTTAATTTCTCTACAAATACTTAATAACCTTTCCCTCTTTAAACTCTAATGGTACCTGTTGATTTCATATCTGCAAAGCTGAATGCATTTCTTCAATGGAAATTTGATACCAGAAAGTTTTTTTTTTCCTTTATTTTCCTAGAATGAACATGCAAAGCCAGAAGACCCAACTTCATATGGGCAGTAAACTAAGGACACAGAAAACGGGGGCAATTTTCAAAACAAACTATTTGGAAAAGAGCAGGGAATCATTTTCACTCCCCCAGAACAAGAGAAGCGGTGGGGGGGAAATAATATCCTTGCAAGGCAAAGCAAGGAGCTTTGCCAATTACTGATCTTTTTCCCAAAGGACACCAAAGAGATGGTTATTCAGGTTAAACACCTAACCAGACACACAGTATTTCCATCTTTGCAGAGGTCTAGACCGAGACACAAGATTTTGTGCCCTCCCTCAGGCCGCCCTGGCCCGATGCCAGAGCCAGCCCATGGGCAGTGCAGGCACGGGTGCAGAGGTGCTCAGGCAATGAGGAAATGCGAGGCAGCCATTCCTCCGGTATTCAGCCAGGAAAGGCCAGGGCAGCAGGCTCCGCGGCCGCGCCAGAGCCAGACCACAATCTTCATGAGGAAACAAGGCACAATGTGTCACCCTCTTGTTTCTTCGGCACAAAGTAGTAGGAAAAGCAGAGCAGGATGGACAACCCTTCCCTTGAGAAGCTCTGCTTTTACTTGTTGCCAGAGCATGCTGTGTCTCTCTGCAATGCCTGCTAACCCACCTTGCTCTTGGCCCCGGCAGAGCAATGGATGAAGGGGAAGAAATATTCCAGTTAGTTATGGAAAAGGAATAAAAATGTTTTCTGTATCTAAAATATGGCTGAACATTTAATTTCAGTGAATACCAGGTCAATAAGCATCTAGCAAACGAACAGCTCTCTGCTCCCTTTTTTTTTTTTTTTTTTGCTATTTTACCTTTCATTAAAAAAAATCCATCTAAACTCTGCTGAACATCATAAAACCCTTCATATTTTAGAGCACTTTGGAACAATTATTTTGAAGGGAGCCCTTGACAGCTAAATGACTCTGTTAAATGAATGTTACAGAAGATACATAATGATTTTTACTGAAATATTGAATTTAACCACAAATGAGGAAAACCAGCCATAAGCGCACCAGGGGTATTTCAATGACAACGTCTTGCCTGGGAGTTCAATGGACTTCGTCTGGCTTAACGATGAAGCCGTTACCTATACAGACCCAGCTCTCTAGAGCCTCCACTCCTTCTTTACTTCCTTGTTTGCTTTTCACCTTTATTAAAGGTTTCTCTGTCTTCTTTTTTTAAATCTAGAAAAGCAGTAAGGAAATTTTGATGCCTGCAGCTACTGGTGCCGTGTCTGGGCTGCACTTTACTGCGGACCCAAGATGCTGAAGAGATTGTGCTGCATACCCAAAGCACAGCTGCTTGTTACAGCCACGACACTCAGGAACTCAACTCACCCAAAGCAAAACCCAGTGTCCCCAGGGAGTCTGGGACCACAGTTTGCAGAGAAGCAAATCTCCTGTTGAAGTTAAGGGGGAGCTTTGGAGAGCCAGGGCTAGGCAAACGCACCACAGGGTTATTTATCACAGCGCTCTCCACATCACTCAGATTTCTTGTTTGCTGTGTGATCTGAAACAGCACTAGGGTTTTACGTCATTTCTCATTAGCATACTAAAAACAGATCTGAAATAATATTAGAGTTTAATTATTCTTCTTCTGATTATTGTTATTGCACTCCAGCACGAGAACATGGCACTGTTCTTCTGATGCTGAAATGCCACTCGTTAGAGAACTTTATTTGCTGGAAGAAAAAGAAATGAATTGAAAACAATCCCCCAGGACTGTATTTCTCTGTATATTTAGAGAGGGAAAAGAAAAATCTTAATGCTGAAGAAACGAGGCTGAAAAATAGGGATCATATGTATTCAGCTTCTGCAGTGAAATGAGGTGGAATGACTGTTTCACAGTAGAAAGGCCAACTACAGGCATGAAGGCAATATTTCTTGGGATCTACCGCCTGTCTAAAGCTTTTAGCTCTCCAGTCTAACACTAAAAACACACACAAAGAAGATTTATCTGGAACAATCAAAATGTGTTGGGAAGTGCAGGATTCAGGTACGAAACAAACTGACGAACTAAGATCCTTGTTGCAGGATTAACCTAACCAGGCAGCTGAAGCAGGAACAGCTATGTAGCAGGCTTGCATGAACCAGATAGCTCAACCCGTTGGTTCTTAACCCCCTGATGCGTTTATTTCTTTAGCCCCAGATGTTGTGCAGCGCCGCCTCGAGATTTCCAGCCCATTTGTGGTGCCCAGAGCAAGCCCAACGCGGGGCTCCTTGGAGAAGGCCTCCAAGCCGACTGCGTTCCCCTTCATTTACTCGGGCAGGTGTGCGAGCTCATTCACACTAATTTGCTTGGAATCTGCTCCCACTGCATTCCACGTTCCCCTACACTTACAGAAACAGCTGTTCTATCTGGGGGAGGGAGGGGCAAAAAAAAAAAAAAAGTAAAAACAGAAAAAAAAAAGAGCCCCTTGGCTCAGTGCCTATCTAGCCTCAGAAAGTACGACTTTAAATATCGCTGTACTACTGATATTAGCAGCTACAGTGCTTATAAACAGAACAGCCTTTGCTTTCTTCGCTCTGGATGACAAATACTACAGTGACAATTTTTTTTAATTTGAGCAAATAACAAAATCCAGAAATTTTGCATCTAAACGAAGCATTTTTTTTCCCTTTCATTTGGGGAGGACTTCCAACCATCCCTTCTTCCTCCTCCCCCCGCCCTGTTGGAGTAAACATAAGCCTGTGTTTTCCTTTAAGAGTCAGCCGTGGTTCAGTGAACAGACTGACATGTTATTCCATGTGAGAAAAGAAGCTGTGCTTTTAATCTCATTTTCACTCTAGATTCCTCGCTAATGTATCTGGGGATGGTTCAGCCTGCATTCGCTGTAAGACATCTGTATCACACACCGTTTGGCCCCTCTGTGTTTCCACAGAGCAGAGGTGAAAAATTAGCTGTGTTGCTTACACCTGCTATGCAAAAACGATAAATCTCTGTATACTCACAGATGTAGAAATATTCCCGGCCTGGCCTGAACTCAAATCCTAGTGAGAAGGGAGTGAAGAGCTGGAATTTTTCTGAGAACTTCAACGGTCCATTTGGGGAGTGTGGCCGGTTACACTCCCACCTCTTGAATCCCTTGGAGGTGTGGTCGCAGGAGCTGTACCCATCAAAGTTCACCATGTAAAGAACATAGCGTTCGGTCTTATCTTCTGGCACTGAATCTTCGTAGTGAGGGCAGAACACATCCAGATAGTCGTTGATGCACACGTCGATGTGGTAGTCACCCCTCTGGAATCTAAATAAAAGAAAGAATTCAGAAAAACAAAACAAACAAAAAAACCCAGTTAGTTTAGGATAATTGTGCTGTAGGATCATGTGTTCATACAAGGGGCATCATTAACGGCATCATCATTCATTTCACTCCAGCCACGCACCCTCGCTCTTAAAAAACGACCCTCAAAGCTTGCCAGAGTCATCAGAGACACCTCATGCAGGACTGTGGTCAAAGGGTCTTTTGGATACAGGTTTTGCTCTTTTGTCTTACAGAATGAACCTCTGGCTACTGGTTATTTTTGCCTCTGACTTATTGAAGGCAAAGGAAGAAAGTGTCTGCTTTATTCCTTTTATTTATTTATGTTTTAAACAGGAGAAAGAGGCAAGGAGAAGAAGCCAAAACTGCATCGGCGTCCCCAAGATCAGTGTCCCTCCGAACACCTACACACACACACACAAAAGTTAATAGGCTGATGCCATCCTCTCCTCAGAATCCAGCAGCAACCACCACTTTGCTGAAGCTGATGAGCCTACAAGGAATTCTCCAGGCTACAGCAGCACACACAGCTTTCCCCGCTCTCCGCTACATGTCGGGACGCAGAGCTCATTCTGGGGGTGGCCAATGAGCCCGCAGAGCGGGTCTGTACGTGCGGCCAAGTCCCCGGGGCAGCGGGCGAAACCAGCCCCGACCTGCTCCGCTCCGGCCGCCTGCGCTCCTCGCAGCTTCCCCGCTCCGCGGCTGCACTTGTCAAGTGGATCACAGAGCAATAAAAAGGCCGTGACAGATTTAACTATAATACTTCTTTTTAGCTGAGGGGCATATTTTAAACACCTGATGGGCTTGAAATCTGCCATCTGGATCTTTCTATCTAATTTCAGAGAAAAAGCAATGATCTGCCGGCCCTCCAAGGATAAATTCAGAGCAAACTATACCTTTTCATATCCCTACAATAATTTAGCTTCAATAAAATAGCTTTTTAAAGGGAAAAAAAACTGAACACGTATCAAAGCATGATATATCTGTATAATTTCAGCCAGTGCACAGCCTCATGGCTCCATTATACAACATGGAAAAGCCTTTCTGAACCACAGCCATTTCAGCAGAACTCACATTTATCTAAATCATTAGCCAGAGATATATTTTTGTACTCCAGTGCTTACAGAGCCTGTCATCTGCACAGCTACTGTCTTAAAACATTTGCAAAGCTGTATTGTTTTTAAATTGGTCTTTTTTTTCATATCAGTTAACAACATGTCGTTTCTTACACATAATGAGAGAGGGCACCTTTTAGGTTCTGAAGAGGAAAGTCTAATTCTGGAAGTGATCTCCTTTTTTTTTTCCATACATTATATTTTTAGTAAGTAAAAACGACACACACACATAGTACATATATAAAAAATGCAGGTGATGGACAATACAAAATTTCCTGTGGGGCTGTTCTCAAGGCTCCCTCTGGTACCATGCTGTGCCTTCACAATAACGCCCAGTCGCAGGTTTGTGACTGTCTGCTTTCAGAGCTACACTTAAATAACTGCAGACAGCCGGGGATCAGCCGGCTCTCCCTAACTTTCGACTTTCACAATACAGATGCCCTCATGTGAACCGCTTCTCTGGGTTTCCTTTAAGGCAATGAAGAGAAATAGGTGCTTCTAGAGCCCAATTCATCTGACCTGTTTAGGCCCAAGGTGCACTGGGAGGAGAGGAATCGCGCTCCAGGAGTGACTATTTCTCTCCTTGAACTAAAAGGAGAGTCTAGACAGATATTTCACAGACATTCTACGCTGTAAATGACTAAATTTGAAGGGATGAATCCTAGCAGAGAGCCTATGATAATAAAGATTATAAATACAAGGAGACAGACAACTTAATCAATTTCTCATCACACCTTAAATCTGTGTTAGCAGTGAAATCATGTTTGTAGTCTGCACCACGGAGCTCTTCCACCCAATATTGCCAACAACGGCAGAGCCCTCCACTGTATTCCTTTCGCACAAGCAAAAACTCAATCCAATCTCCCTCTTGG